TGTAAAGACGATCAATTGGCCGAGCGGTCTAAGGCGCCAGTTTAAGGCACTGGTCTGAAAGGGCGTGGGTTCGAATCCCACATTGGTCATCGCTTTTCCCCACCCGCACCAAACGCCTTTATTATCATCATCACCTATTGGCACTCACGACGAGCAATCAACGGAAGTATAGGGTACGAAGACAATCCTTCCCGATGATACCAGGAAATGTTCTTGACTTTTATCGAGTAATTGTATGTGGACTTCCTCGAGAAAAATTTCCGTTGACCTATCTGAGTTGATCAGGACTGAGGTTTGGAAATAATATCCAAATTTTGACTGTCATCAATTCCCACATACTTACATTCGGTACCAAATTACAAGTGCTACTTATGCATTCAGAACTAGTATAGTCCCAGTATATCAGTCAGCTCGTTGTGGTACAGCTTGGCAATGGAATTTTCCACAACACATTTCGTCCCACGTTGCAATGGTTCGCTTGATCATGGCCAATCTATTCTCCGATGTAGGCACAACTTGCTTTCACGGTTCAGCTTGCACTTCTGTGGGTCCATGACACTGACGCCAAAAGATTGAAGCGACAAATCGCATTGTCCCGTACAATTATAATGTAATATTCTCTATGTCATGATATATATGGCCCCTTTTATTCAAGTGTATTAACCGAGTAAGTCAATGCTTGGACAAAAGTCAACGCAGTGTATTGGATAATTAATGTTCCATTATCCTACGAGGGGAGTTCGCGCACTTTATTGGAACCCGTCTCATGGTCTTTCAGGGAATAATTTGGCGAGAATTGCCGTTCGCATAATTGATAAACTGGACTCACAGCGAGTGAGACCGGGCACCAACTGCTCAGCTTAAAATGTAAGGTAATGGGACCTTACATCTTACATCAGAATGACAACTAGTGCACCCACATCGATGGACTAGGATAACATGCTTACCATAAAACATTTGATCACTTGTATACAGTGAGTAATGATGCATTTGGTTATTGTATTAACGACAACGTTTAAAACAATTTGCCAGATAGAGGTGCACCATATTATGCGCTTGGACGTGTGTAAAATTGTTTCGATTAGCCAATACTATTTCAAATTCACTCTGAATGACAACGCGCCTCAACAACATCAATATTCCTAGAAGTATGATCGCATACCACGGGGAAGAATTTATATCATTCTCTGTATGCACCAGCTTGCGGTTTCTGGTCTGTGTGCTTTCATTCTCTAAATATGTCTTGTAGGAATATTTGTCCGTTCCTCTTCAAGTGGAAGAGCCAGTTCGATTTCATGGGGCAATCGACGGCGACAATGAGATGGCCATGAAACTCATAACCATGCACAATTCATATCATATATATTTGGATAATGGTTGAAAGTGCTATGTTCTACAGTATAAGATTTGATTAAGCTAAGACAAATATCTGTCAGAAATCCTCACAAAGAGCTGTCCAATCCTGTGTGCGTACTTGGCTCTATTCGTGTGCTAAGTCTGAATATATTCCCGACGAAGCCGCTTGCAAATTGTCACAACTGCAGCCTGAATGACAGCTGGCCTGTGATGCAGCGATGTTTAATGATGAGGTTGGGTAAACTTTAGCATGATCTGGTAAATGTAGAAGCAACGCAGCGAAACGGGAGTTGCACACAGCATAGGAGACATTGTATTTTGTAGCTCCGCCCACGAAGTTACACGCGTTGGAAAATATTTAGCGCTGAAATGCCCCCAGATAGTCCAGGTCTGCCGAGCAAAGCGCGCCATGAAGGACTTTGAGCGTTGGTTGCTCCACGTGTGCGTCTGGACAACCCCTCGCGGCGCTTGGCAATCATTTGATAGTCGCGTTGAGTTGTTCCTGGAAATCGCAAACATATTTGACGTGATAATCAACGACTGCACTTTACAGTTATATGAAAATGCCATTCCAAGGGCAATCATGGACCAGTGCCCTCGCGTACACACCCATTGCATGTTTATCTTCATACAACTGTAAAGTGCAGTCGTTGATTATCACGTCAAATATGTTTGCGATTTCCAGGAACAACTCAACGCGACTATCAAATGATTGCCAAGCGCCGCGAGGGGTTGTCCAGACGCACACGTGGAGCAACCAACGCTCAAAGTCCTTCATGGCGCGCTTTGCTCGGCAGACCTGGACTATCTGGGGGCATTTCAGCGCTAAATATTTTCCAACGCGTGTAACTTCGTGGGCGGAGCTACAAAATACAATGTCTCCTATGCTGTGTGCAACTCCCGTTTCGCTGCGTTGCTTCTACATTTA